TCCCTCCCTCCCTTCTTCCTTCCTTCCTTCCTTCCTTCCTTCCTTCCTTCCTTCCTTCCTTCCTTCCTTTTTGAGGCAGGCTCTCCTGTATCTCAGGCTGGCCTTGTTATGAAGGGGAAGATGGCCCTCATTACAGAGCAAGTGCCAGCATATCTCCAGCCCCTGCTTTTCCTATTTTGATGTAGATATTTGCTGTTGGGAACTCCCCTTTTGAAGCTGGGTCACATTGTACCATCCTGGCTGGTGTTGCAGTCTCATGACCATTGGCTTTCTGGTTGCTTGGGTTGCAGAACTGGGCCACCACACTTGACTGTGCACTGCCTTTATTCTTCCCATTAGAAACCTGCAGAGGAGTTGAGCTTGCTTCCTAGAACTCATATTGGGCACCTTAGAGTCCCCTGGCCCTCTAACTCTGGGGCACCCAGCACCCTCTTCTGGCCCTTGTGAGCATCTTCTCTGCCTCATGTGGTACGCATCCACAAAAATAAGTCTTAAATTTTGGAAGTTGATATTTTGTGATGCAGTAAGGGAGCATTCTGGATTTAATTGTGAACTTACCCCTCCCAGAGAGTCACCCTGTGTACATTACTCCTGTGTCTCTGGCTGAAACAGTTCCAGCTCTGTTTTTTATTAGGCCAGGCCAATATGAAGAATTCTCCAGCTTTGTTTGACATGGAAGTTTTTTTTTTTTTAATTTTCTTTATTTCTGGACGTGTCACTGAGGGTGATCTCTTTGGCTGTGGTCCTTCCTCCCAGCATTCTGAGGTCGCCATCCTATGCTGTCCCTTTCTGGCCTGTCTGTCTGCCTGTCCATCTGTCTGTCTGTCTGCCTGTCTTTTTGCTTTTAAATTCCCTTCTTCCTTCTCCTCCCCTCTCCTCCCTCATCTTTCTCTTTTCCCTCTCTTCTTTTTGTCTATCCATCTGTCTCTTTTTTTCTGAGATATGATCTCCCTGTAGCCGGGTTGGCCTTGAACTTGCATTCCCTACCTCAACCTCCCCAGTGCTGGGATGTCAGGTTAGACCCTTCACTCCTGGCTCCAGGTCTTTCTCTCTCTGCCTCTGGACAGCTTTCCTACATTTTCTTGAGAGAGGTAGCTCTTTGAAGTAAACAGAACTTGAGTGCTTGTCCAGACCTTACCCAGTGGTTTTCAGCTGTCATTTAACAAATGATGATCTCCGTGCCTCCCTCCAGCCCTCCCTCCTCCATACTCTTCACTGTGTAGATCTTTTCTTGGTGACTTCCATAGATGCTACAAGCTTTCCTTGCATTTCTCTTCTCTTCATCTACACCTGACTTATTTCAAGAAACCCGACTTCAGGTCCTGGAACTTACTCTGCTTGGTTTACTGCTGCTGCTGCTGTATTTACTGTATTTTTGATTCAGTGGCATCTTCATCTCTTACACCTTTCCTTCTGCCCCCAAGACTGTTCTCTGAGTAGTCCTGGCTGTCCTGGCCTCTATTATATAGCTCTGGCTGTCCTGGGACTCACTCTGTAGACCAGGCTGACCTCAAACTCACAGAGATCCCCCTGCCTCTGCTTTCGAGTGCTGGCATTAAACGTGTGCCCAGCCTCGGGCTTCATCTTTCATTTCTTAATAACAGAGTCTGTCCTTTAGAACGCATGCTTTGCCGGGCAGTGGTGGCGCACACCTTTAATCCCAGCACTTGGGAGGCAGAGGCAGGTGGATTTCTGAGTTTGAGGCCAGCCTGGTCTACAGAGTGAGTTCCAGGAGAGCCAGGACTACACAGAGAAACCCTGTCTCGAAAAACCAGAAAAAAACAAAAAAAAAACAAAAAAA